TTTCAAGCGACTCCCCAACATTTGCCCTGCCTTGAGAGTTTTTGAGTTGACAAATTTGGTTCATTATTGTGGTATATATAGGTTCAATTCTTGAACATTAGTTTGTCATCCAAGGTTGGTGTCCCACAAGTGCCACGACACACACAAAATACCCTACTAGTGTGATTGTCATGTGATGTATTCCAACCCGTTACTTTCGTGCATACTAATTGCGTCCACATCTGGTTTACTTCCTGTGGTTCATGACCAGTCATTCACCTGTTTCTTATGAATCTATAAAGGAGATGCCCGAGTATCTCCTCCGCATTCATTGTCTGTCAAGAGTCTGTGGAAGTTGTTGCTATACAAAATATAAGGTTTTGGTAAAGAGAAGCCTTTCATTTCAAGGAACCCAGCTGATAGAGTTAATATAGCTTCTCATCAAGAAATTGTCCTAGCTGGACATTGAGCTGAGTTTGAGTTTATTGCAAAGAGACGTCAACGCAGTTTATACATAGATTCTGTTTATTTCTGGCTACATATAGGATAACAATTTTCTGACCAAATTATTATTAAAACTGTTTGTTATATTCATAGATGTCCTGCTTGCAGGAAGATGTCTTTAACCCTTCATGGAAAGCCAGCAAGAGCATGAAGAAAATAAAAGTCCTATGTTTTTGTTTGGTTTTTTGAAAAGTGTGTTCAAATTAATCCCATTTAAATGTCCAATAGGTTTTTCCAAGTTGACCAAGGGAGGGTTCACCCCAAGGTTTGGCTGAAGGGAGGTTTAAAGTGCATTGGAATTGAGGGATTACCTGGGAATTAAAATCAGGGAGGTTTCTGCTTTGTAAAGGCTTGAATCATTATGTAATTCAAGCTGTTCACATAAAATTAGATTTTTAAAGCTCTTGAGATGGTGCATGTGAACTGCAGGATATGCTGGCATTTCTTTACATCCAATTTGGAAAAATATAGTTAGCCAGGTAAGTAGAAATATATCTTATATAGAGATCTGTATAATACTGTGTAGAGTCAATTCTGTCGCAGAGTTACAAAAAGAAATTAATCATCTGCATGAAGAGCATTTCTTGTCCATCTACCACTGAGACAATACATAGTACCCATACATAAGTTTATGTTTATTATTCCTTCCTCTCATACAATAAATCATGTGTTATGCATACTGTATATTCATGACTTTGCTGGATTATCCATGCATTATGAATATATAAACTCCTCATGAACTAGCATGTTTTCTGTGGCATTTGGTAAATTACAATTTTAAGGATTCAATAATGAGAGCAATTAATCTGCTTTAAGCAAAAACTTGAACTTCCATTTGACCCACAAAAAGAGCAACAGGCATAAAGTATTGCTATATGCAAGTCAAATACTTAGATTCTAAAAGTGCACAAATGCAGAAGATGAAACAATTCATTCCCACATCCAGAATTGCTTTTTAAACACTGAAATGTTTCTAGTAACTGCTGCTGGATGAAGCCCAAGCTACTTTTGAAACTTCTTTCCAATGTTTTTTTTGCCTTGACAAACATTTCAAGTGCTGTAAAATGCTGAAATCTCTTATTCCTTTATTTCTTGTGTCACAGTTTTGCTTAATGTGGGACAAAATTATAAAATACCACTGTTCTGACCTTGAGAAGATTGTTTCTTGTGTATGGGTCCTCTGTTGAGCATCAAGGACTCATTCTTCAGTGTAATAATGTTTACTTAATGATGTGATTCATATTACAGTACTGTAGACACAAATTAGGAAACCTTCCAGTGATTTGCCCATCTGAGCATGTTAATTACTCTTTTTTAACTTCCTGAAATGGAAGAATCTTCTTATAAACATTCTTCCTCTCAAGATATTTGAGTTCGTCTAGGGACGGGTTAACGTTGTTACAGTACGTTTGTTTAGAAGACACGAAGAAAGGTCTGGGAGTACATTATTTCAACATGACAGTTGAAACGTCCACGGAGACCTACCCGACGCAAACCACTTACCCTGGGGGGCAGAAATGAAAGGAGCCAAATTGCCAGTCACAATCACTGGACTGCTGCTTGAAGGCTGCAGGTTTGATGGGGCCAGCCTGAGGGACAATGCTGCAGACTCTGCAACCATCTCACCTTTGCCTTCTGTCACTATTGCCTGGGTTCCTCAGGTGAGTTTCACAATGAAAATTTTCAAGGTTTTGCACCAACTGTTCTTAAAAGTCAGAATTCATGAGCATCATGCAACTTTTCTCAATTCATTTTAGAATACTGTAATGCAGTCATGGGAATTATTTTCCTCTATAAGCCCTTAACCAACCCCGCTGATCCCATTTTACTTGAAGATTTTTAGAAGTCTTCAATTGTTCATGGTACAGGTGATGGTACCTCAGAATTCAACCTTTGACCATCTCATGCTTTAATGTTTGAATTTTCAGGGAGTTTGACTTACAATCCAACCCTTGCCCCACAATTCAACATGCTTTGGCCACTTCATTGCATTTTTAAACTTATATTTTTGAATTTCATGGAGTGCAATTTGACCGTAGTCCAGCAATGGATTAGGGTCAAATTGCAAGGTACCACCTGTATTATTTTCTACAAATGTTAATTTGCATGGGGCAGTGGTTCAATCATAACAATGATAATAAATAACTAAAGCACATGCAGTTTACCCTCCACAGGTTTACTTACAATTACAAGGGAGTACCAAAAAGTCGAAGTAGAGGGGTTTTGAGTTTGGGGAAACCACCAATTAGCCTCAAAATCAAATTGAAGGAAATTGAAATTCAGTGTTTCTTGGTCCAAAATGGTTGTCTAGAGAAGTTGAAGGGATGCTGAACTTGGAGGCAAGGGTTCATTTGCCCAATTATTACTTCACTTCCTCTCAGAAAGTACTTACAGAAAGTTTGCAGAAAGCTGTTATAGAAAGCACTATAAGAAAGTTATACTGTTTTCTCATTACTTCCCTTACTTCTTTGTCACAAAAATAGTAGCCCGAGTTCATAGCAATCTAATTAAGGAAGTATGTTAGTGCATTGTTCTTGAGGAAAGTCAGACTGTACTTGGACACAAAATGTTGAATTATACCATAGATGTTCAACTATACAGCATCTTCTTTGCTTTTCTCAGGACTCTGCAGTCATATATGAATCAAGGAATACTGTCTGGCTCCCAGTTTACATGGACTTGCGCAGGAACAACATGCTGATGAAGTTGGCCCTGCCATCTGGTGGTGAAGTTTCTCACTGGCTTCAAGCAGGCGTCGCCATTTTTCTGAATGGCTGAACCTCACTTTTAACCAAAAATCTGTGAAATATTCCCTGATCCAAAGCAATTATTTCATTAACACTATTCCTCCACATTCCAAGGAAATTGTTTGTTCAGTTAAATTGTTGGTCCCTGTTTATTCAATCAAATCAGCCTGTGAAGCTTTCAGAAAATTTAATTTTCCCTGATTCGGTAGTTACCAAGAAGACTTTCTGTTCTTCTCTTACTAATGAATTTAGGAGCACATGCGAAATTTCGAGACATCATGCCACACCTTGACATAGGAAGAAATGAACTCGATGATATGATCTCAAAAAACTGAAAAACTGATTGGAAAACGCAATGAAGCTGTGTAAAAAAAAACCCCACCTTCGTTTTTTTTCTTCTCAATAAAAACGCGCCACTAATGAAATAAAACGCATGGGTCACAATATAGTGGGGAGGAACAAAGCTTGGAAGACAAAGAAGAAAGAAAAAAAAACAGAAATAATAATTCAGGCCAATTGCTGACGAAATAAAAAAAAACAAACAAAAAGATCGCGTGTGGATGAGGAAGAAGGCAAGAAATCACACCAATGATTTTTTTGTTCCCCTCTTAAAACGGACGTCGTCCTGGTTGTTGAAGACTCAACGGATTCACAAATGCCCTCGGGCTATCAGTAACTCCGTTGAACACTGGGATTGATTCTTGTTGCTGCTGCTGTGGAGGTCCTGGAAGGAATCTTGCAGGCGAACCAAATTCTGATTGGAAACGTGGAACTCCTTGCTGAGGAGACTGCTAAAGAAAAGTAGAACAAAATAAATAATTTACAAAATTGATCCAGTAAATTTAAAAAAGATGAAAATGTATATGCAAATCAAGCCTGATGAGGAACAGTGCTGATCAATTTCTATCAACACCAAAACTTTAGGATGAGGAATTTTACCCTATAATTCAAAGAAGAAATTCTAATTTTAACTGCAAAAAGAATAAATAAAAATTATATTATAACCAATAAGTCAGGTTCACCATATAGAAAAAAAGTATTTGTCAAGCACGAACATTTTCCTATGGCGAGAAGAAAATTATACGGCAAAATAAATGAACAAAAATTGCGAGTCCCCAAAGATTCTCGCTCAATTAGACAGAAATTCAAACAAAACGTCACAGAGTTGATTAATTGAAAAATATTGTATACACAATAATCCAAAAGACACATTTCAAACATGCATATATATATATACATGAACCTCTGTTTTAAATTCCATCGCTCAATAAGAAATAAGTTTTTCTCGAATTCACAAAACAAAACGGATTAATTAAGAAAACTGAATGAAACGACTCACGGCGAATTGTGGAGGAGCAAACTGCGGCGGCGGGGCGGCGAATCTCGGCGGCTGCGGCTGCGGCGCAAATCGTTGCGGCACCTGCTGCTCAAACCTCTGTCGCTCATCCTCCCTGCCGGGAATGAACCTGGGTCTTTCGGGTCCAGCCTGGGACGGCGACGTCGGGAACTGGGGCGAGCTGGCAAACTGCTGCGCCTGTTGTTGCTGCTGTGGAGCCGGGCGTTCCTGATGAAAGTGCTGACTGCGTTTGACACCGACACTGTGCCCGGCCGAACCGACAACAACAACAACGACGACTACTACGACGACAGGGACCACAACCCCAACTGCGGACCTACGGGCGCGGCCTTCGGGCAAGCCGTGTGGGTCAACGAATCCGTCCTTGTCCTCGTCGTCGGAGAAACCCTCGAGTTCGATGCTGGGTATGTATTGGCCACCTGCGCCGATTTGACCTGGCAAAAAAAAAATTACAATACAGTACAGAAAAAAAAAACCTTTTACGGTGTAATCTTCAATTTAGTGCCATCACTTATGGTTGTCCGCATACATTTTGTGGCACTAAATAAAAGGTATTGTTCAGGATGAAGAATTTCGCCCTTTTAATTCAAAGAAGAAATTAGAATTTTAAACGCACGAAGAATAAATAAAAATTAAATTATAACCAAGTCAGGTTCAACATAGAGAAAAAAAATCTTTGTCAAGCACGAACATTTTCCAATGGCGAGAAAAAAATCTTGAGAGAAACGTTCCATTACAAGGGTCCGTATTTACTGCAGGCAATATATATATACAGTATCTTGCCTCCAGAATTATTAGGCCACCGAGTCTGTTTTATGAGAAAAAGACGCAAGAAATGATTTTAAAGCTCAATTGAATAAAATATGATAATACGCATATAGAAATCTTTGGTGACAATAAATGAGTTGGCACTAAATTGGGGTTTCATCGAAAACAAATAAGACATAAGCATATCAAGGGAGATTCGTTTCAGGGAAATTTCTGGCACTAAATTGATTCTTGACTTTATTTATATTTGAAAAATTGAATAAAAATATTTTCTACTTTTCACCTGCTGCGTAATACTGTAATACAGAAAACCAAAATCGTTCGAAACAATCAGAAAATACTTCTAATAACACCCGCTCCAATTTTACCTGCGACGAAATAATTCTTTCGAAACGAACGCATTCTTCGCAATTTTAAATCACAAAAATTTGGCATTACTCGTTGAAAAAAAAAATTGTCTTGGACCTGATTGAAGCGCTATTATTGGCATAATTCATGTCATTTTGACTTTAACTGGATTACTACGTTGATTTTTGGCTCATGAAAGTCGTCTCGCATGCCCTGGTCAATATGTATTCTTCTATTTTATTATTAAAATATTTATTTTATTATGAATATATCATCATTTATTTTCTTTTTCGAAAATATGATTAAATTCAATCATCACAAAAGTAAACAATAAGAAAAATCTCGTTCGAATCCTGTTTGTAACCAAGAAGCAAGAAACAAGCAACTGACACAAGGTTACATTTTGGAGTGGAGGATGGAAATCCGTTTTTTTTAAACAACACTGAAATGTTTTTGAAGCCCCATCAGTCGCATAAAAATGGGTGTGGTTCACACTCAGATTTCATCCTGCATATTGCACTTGAATTAATAACCCCACAAAATGCTCGACAATTTAAGCAGAACAAACGATACAATTATATCACAATAATAAGTCGGACCTTCGCAATGTCAAGACCGGGCTCATAAAGAAAATACGAGCGACACCTACGTGTAAATCGCCGAGTCAGTTACACTGGCCGTGAAATCCGGGAGAATCCCAGGGAACGTTTTACAGAACGAAATCGAATGAAAATGAATTCGAAATTACTTCCCGTTCGGCAAATAACCACGACCAGGTTACAAACCCATATTCTTTCTTTCTCTGCAGCTTGATTTTTAATCATCGGACACACCCATCAAAGGTTTAAAAAAAAGGAAATTAATCAGCGCACGCAATATCGAGACTGGAATTCGCGAGAGTGATTTACGAACCGCTTAAAACGGAGCCCGATAAAATTTCAGTACGATTCTTTCAAGGATATACGCATGAATATCAAATTTCAAAACTAATTGAACGCAATGAAATACCATTTTCGGGCGACGACGGCTTTTAAAATACAGTACTGAAAACCATTGTTCGGGGTTTTTCTCCTNTTAAAAAAGATGAAAATGTATATGCAAATCAAGCCTGATGAGGAACAGTGCTGATCAATTTCTATCAACACCAAAACTTTAGGATGAGGAATTTTACCCTATAATTCAAAGAAGAAATTCTAATTTTAACTGCAAAAAGAATAAATAAAAATTATATTATAACCAATAAGTCAGGTTCACCATATAGAAAAAAAGTATTTGTCAAGCACGAACATTTTCCTATGGCGAGAAGAAAATTATACGGCAAAATAAATGAACAAAAATTGCGAGTCCCCAAAGATTCTCGCTCAATTAGACAGAAATTCAAACAAAACGTCACAGAGTTGATTAATTGAAAAATATTGTATACACAATAATCCAAAAGACACATTTCAAACATGCATATATATATATACATGAACCTCTGTTTTAAATTCCATCGCTCAATAAGAAATAAGTTTTTCTCGAATTCACAAAACAAAACGGATTAATTAAGAAAACTGAATGAAACGACTCACGGCGAATTGTGGAGGAGCAAACTGCGGCGGCGGGGCGGCGAATCTCGGCGGCTGCGGCTGCGGCGCAAATCGTTGCGGCACCTGCTGCTCAAACCTCTGTCGCTCATCCTCCCTGCCGGGAATGAACCTGGGTCTTTCGGGTCCAGCCTGGGACGGCGACGTCGGGAACTGGGGCGAGCTGGCAAACTGCTGCGCCTGTTGTTGCTGCTGTGGAGCCGGGCGTTCCTGATGAAAGTCGACTGACGCAAACTGTGGCTGTGACACGGGCCGGCTTGGCTGTTGTTGTTGTTGCTGCTGATGATGCTGCTGTCCCTGGTGTTGGGGTTGACGCCTGGATGCCCGCGCCGGAAGCCCGTTCGGCACCGGGTCAACGAATCCGTCCTTGTCCTCGTCGTCGGAGAAACCCTCGAGTTCGATGCTGGGTATGTATTGGCCACCTGCGCCGATTTGACCTGGCAACAAAAAAAAAATTACAATACAGTACAGAAAAAAAAACCCTTTTACGGTGTAATCTTCAATTTAGTGCCATCTTTTGGGTGTCCGCATACATTTTATGGCACTAAATAAAAGGTATTGTTCAGGATGAAGAATTTCGCCCTTTTAATTCAAAGATGAAATTAGAATTTTAAACGCACGAAGAATAAATAAAAATTAAATTATAACCAAGTCAGGTTCAACATAGAGAAAAAAATCTTTGTCAAGCACGAACATTTTCCAATGGCGAGAAAAACATCTTGAGAGAAACGTTCCATTACAAGGGTCCGTATTTACTGCAGGCAATATATACAGTATCTTGCCTCCAGAATTATCAGGCCACCGAGTCTGTTTCATGAGAAAAAGACGCAAGAAATGATTTCAAAGCTCAATTGAATAAAATATGATGATACGCATATAGAAATCTTTGGTGACGATAAATGAGTTGGCACTAAATTGGGGTTTCCTCGAAAACAAATAAGACATAAGCATATCAAGGGAGATTCGTTTCAGGGAAATTTCTGGCACTAAATTGATTCGTGACTTTATTTATATTTGAAAAATTGAATAAAAATATTTTCTACTTTTCACCTGCTGCGTAATAATACAGAAAACCATTAATCGTTCGAAACAATCAGAAAATACTTCTAATAACACCCGCTCCAATTTTACGTGCGACGAAATAATTCTTTCGAAACGAACGCATTCTTCGCAATTTTAAATCACAAAAATTTGGCATTACTCGTTGAAAAAAAAATTGTCTTGGACCTGATTGAAGCGCTATTCTTGGCATAATTCATGTCATTTTGACTTCAACTGGATTCCTACGTTAATTTTTGGCTCATGAAAATCGTCTCGCATGCCCTGTTCAGTGAACTGTATTCTTCTATTTTATTACATGTATTAAAATATTTATGATATTATTTTATTATTAATATATTATTATTTATTTTCTTCTTCGAAAATATGATTAAATTCAATCATCACAAAAGTAAACAATAAGAAAAATCTCGTTCGAATCCTGTTTGTAACCAAGAAGCAAGAAACAAGCAACTGACACAATAAGGTTACATTTTGGAGAGGAGGATGGAAATTCGTTTTTTTAAAACAACACTGAAATGTTTTTGAAGCCCCATCAGTCGCATAAAAATGGGTGTGGTTCACACTCAGATTTCATCCTGCATATTGCACTTGAATTTATACCCCGCAAAATGCTCTACAATTTAAGCAGAACAAACGATAATATTATATCACGATAATAAGTCGGACCTTCGCATTGTCAAGACCAGGCTCATAAAGAAAATACGAGCGACACCTACGTGTAAATCGCCGAGTCAATTACACTGGCCGTGAAATCCGAGAACGTTTTACAGAACGAAATCGAAAATGAATTCGAAATTACTTCCCGTTCAACAAATAACCATATAGTCCCATAACAGTCCCATATTCTTTCTCTGCAGCTTGATTTTTAATCATCGAACACGCCCATCAAAATTTAAGAAAAAAGAAAAAAATAAGGAAATTAATCAGCGCACGCAATATCGAGACTGGAATTCGCGAGAGTGATTTACGAACCGCGGAAAACGGAGCCCGATAAAATTTCAGTACCTAAGAAAGTTCCTATATGCGTACTTATAGTTTAAAGTTTTGATTAACTTGCGTTACTTTATGGTAAAAGCCCGCTGCTGCCGAAAATTTTATGTCATGACTTTTGGTAACAAGCCCCAAAAAGAGGACACCTATTTGACATTCCTTACGGTTTCACGCATTATTACTCAGCATCAGCCAATGCATTAAACGTTTTCATTACCACGCCCTTCATTTACTTTCGAAGTGTGCACATTATAGTTTTATTTCACTCTGCGTATGCATTTAAAAACCTCTTCTTTCACTTCCCAAGTTTTTTCTTTTCGGAATCCATGCACGGAATTATCCAACTTTTCCAAAAATGTAGAAAAAATATTTTAAAAAAGCTGAAGATTCCTTTTTTTCTACAGCATGCTCAAAACTACACCTGAGTGACTCAGTAGCATAGTAGGGTCATTTCACGACAGAAAATCAATTAGAATCACTATTGAAAATAATGAGGTTTCAAGAGACACTAAAAACGAAGAAAAAATTATTAATTGCATTACAATGACAGACATGAGGAAGTCATTTCCCCTTCATTTCGACACACAGTAGAATCGTGTTACAAGAAACGTAATCGTAACAAGTTATTACACAGCAACAAATTCGTTTTTTCTACAGTTCCTTGCACAATCGCTAATATTTTGTGCAGTATGCATTTTCAGTATTTTGCTTTTAATACTATCACACAGGTTTATGCTCGCAAGAATACATTTTTGCCATGAGATTTACTCCTTTTATAGCATTTGAATTACATTAATTGCAAACAGATATCAATTGCAGAATAATCGAATACAGCACCGATTTTTCACAAACAGTGAGATGATGATATTGCTGACTCAATTTTGACAAAAATTCTCTCTATATAGCGAATCATTGCTAATGTTTCAGGTACCTGCCGAATATCCATCAGGGTTGTTTCAAAAGCTTCGAGAGAAGAACTTTAACTGGTTTGCCTCGAAGTTGTTAAGGTTTTTTTTTTAATTAGCGCATCGGGGTTCTAAACCGTTGTGAAGTCACGACAAGTTGTATGAGAGGCGGTTTTAGTTACACGTGCGTTAGAAGACTTTTTTCTGGTGCACCAAATTCCGTTGTAAAGGGAGAGTTCACTTGTATCATTCACTTCAAATGGAAATAAGAATCCAAATTCTTACGTCATATTTTTGGAGAATTTCTTAGCTCAAGTTCAATTTAAAAGAAGAAAAGAACTGAACATTGAAAGACTTTTTTTTAATATTGGTGGACAGCAACCATAACGAAAATTCGCTCGAGTTCCGAAGACGATGACTTTTGTGAGCCATCATTGCATTCCTGCTCGTTTTACAAGTACAGTATATTACTTCGGTGGGGTTTATGGTATTTTACTACTGACACACCGTCATCGGAAGGTCTTTCTTGAAATACAAGAACCCGGCAAGGGTTTCCTCATCGCATGCATGGTCACTCACCAGCGGGAGAAGGGCCGGCGGGTTGCCCAGGCGAAGGGAAGCTGAATTGGAAAATGCCCTCGGGGTCTGTGAAAGTCGAGATGCCCCTTGGTGCTGATGGCCTCGACGGAGGAGCACCAGATTGCTGGGGACGGAATTGCTGAGGCTCTTGTTCTTCTTGCTGGAATCTCTGAGGAAGCTGCTGCTGAGCTGGTCTTGGGGCAGGCTGTCATGAAAAAAAAAATGAAATAAATGTGAGTAACCGCATAACGAAAGACCCCGTACAACGAAATAATTATTTTATGTGGGAGGAAATGTCTCACATGTAGTCACATGACGAAATTGCATGGCCCAAAAAAATACCAACATTTCAATACGTTTTCGAATATAACTCAGCAATTCTCTCGAATTGAAGAAAATAAGTAAAGAAGGGTATTTAACCTCTTATTCTTGCCTTGACAATTGATGAAATTAACAACGGAGCAGAATTTCATCACGATGACTTCAACTTAATTACATTAAAATTATTGCACAAAAGGAAAAATAATCAGTTTTACCAACTAATCATGAATTTAAGGTGAGTGTAACAATCCAACTAATTCACAATAATGTAACTGAAAAGGAAATCGCGTTTTCACATTACAAGAAAATTCAGCAATTGAAAAAACACCCAGGAACAGATTATTTTCGTTATTCGGGGACCCACTGTACATGTATTTCAACAATCGGGAGATTCAGGAATTTGTTTGTAGAATAGATTTCGAGGTGTAATAGCGCGTGTATTAATATAATAATGCCACGAAAAATTACTCGTACGAAACAAGAGACATTTGCACAAGATCCAGGTTTCATTATCGAGTGGAATTTCCCCTGGAATCCCAAGGAATAACAGTTGTTCCATTTCCGCAAAAACGATTCTTCTTGAAATTGACCAAACGGAGCTTCAACAATTCCAAAAAAAAAATTAATCGCGTAGCCCCAAGATTTGGCAACACTTCAGTGCTGTTCAACATACTCTCCGCCAAAATCAATGTGCACGCAATCGAGACTTTTTTCTGGTGCCCCGAATTTCGTTGTAAAGGGAGAGTTCACTTGTATTATTCACTTCAAATAGAAATAAGAATCCAAATTCTTGCGTCATCTTTTCCGGAGAATTTCTTAGCTCAAGTTTAATTTTAAAAAAAGAAAAGAACTGAACATTGAAAGACTTTTTTTTAATATTGGTAGACAGCAACCATAACGAAAATTCGCTCGAGTTCCGAAGACGATGACTTTTGTGAGCCCTCATTGCATTCCCGCTCGTTTTACAAGTACAGTACAGTATATTACTTCGGTCAGTTCGGTGGGGCATATATGGTATTTTACTACTGACACACCGTCATCGGAAGGGCTTTCTTGAAATACAAGAACCCGGCAAGGGTTTCCTCATCGCATGCATGGTCACTCACCAGCGGGAGAAGGGCCGGCGGGTTGCCCAGGCGAAGGGAAGCTGAATTGGAAAATGCCCTCGGGGTCTGTGAAAGTCGAGATGCCCCTTGGTGCTGATGGCCTCGACGGAGGAGCACCGGACTGCTGGGGACGGAATTGCTGAGGCTCTTGTTCTTCTTGCTGGAATCTCTGAGGAAGCTGCTGCTGAGCTGGTCTTGGGGCAGGCTGTCATGGAAAAAAAAATGAAATAAATGTGAGTCACCGCATAACGAAAGACCCCGTACAACGAAATAATTATTTTATGTGGGAGGAAATGTCTCACATGTAGTCGCATGACGAAATTGCATGGCCCAAAAAAATACCAACATTTCAATACGTTTTCGAATATAACTCAGCAATTCTCTCGAATTGAAGAAAATAAGTAAAGAAGGGTATTTGGCCTCTTATTCTTGCCTTGACAATTGATGAAATTAACAACGGAGCAGAATTTCATCACGGTGACTTCAACTTAATTGCGTTAAAATTATTGCACAAAAGGAAAAATCATCAGTTTTAACAATTCATCATGAATTTAAGGTGAGTGTAACAATCTAATTCTAACTGATTCACAATAATGTAACTGAAAAGGAAATCGCGTTTTCACATTGCAAAAAAATTCAGCAATTGAAAAAACATCCAGGAACAGATTATTTTCGTTATTCGTGGACCCACTGTATACATTTAAAAAAGCTGGAGGTTCAGCAATTTGTTTGTACAACAGATTTCGAGGTGTAATAGCGCGTGTATTAATAAAATAATGCCACGAAAAATTACTCGTACGAAACAAGAGACATTTGCACAAGATCCAGGTTTCATTATCGAGTGGAATTTCCCCTGGAATCCCAAGGAATAACAGTTGTTCCATTTCCGCAAAAACGATTACATGCAAAAGTTTTTCGTAAACCCCCCAATAAATTAAACAAGCGGCACCTGTTTAATTTGCATCAAATATTTTTCGTGAATTCTAGCAGTACGGAAATGTTGCAGCATATGTCACCGCAGCTGAGCATGGAAGATAATTTGGAAGAATTCTTTTGGAAGATAATTTCCAACTAATTAAAAATCTAATTTGAACATAAAATTGACAATCAGCAAGGATCATTCTCGGTATACACGCAGTTCGCCATTGTCCTTCGAAAGAATAAAAATCCCGACCCGGAAGAACGCAGTCTTCACGTCAAACTACCGCAGATTCATAAAATTCGAATACCTGTAAGTCACTCAATTCATGAATTTTGACTACTGTACGTGTAAAATACAGTGATACGGTCAAACCTCTTCAAGTCGAACTTCGAGGGACCAGCGAACAAAAACTCGATTCACGCGGAAAAAAGCATTTTTGTGGGTGACAGGAAGAATAAAAGGAGGAAATTCTAATTCGTGAATTTCTGGGCCATAATGGCTTCTTGAATTACTTGACAGAACGCTGAACCCTAAACTGGAGGCAAGGTTCACTTTCCCGAATAGTCTGTCAATTCCTTTCGATACACATATAGTTGTTAATAAAATAATCGCCATAAGGTCTTCGGGAAATCGAGTTATCATTGTGGGAAAGCCTTCGAGTCACGGAGGTTTCTAATGAATTACACTATTTTTAATGGAATTGAGACAGGCCGGGACTTGCAAAATTTCAATGTACTGATGAATTCGACTCAGGGAGGTTTGAGTAACATAGGTTCGACTGTATTTCAAACCCGACCAGCAGTCTACACTCTTCAGCCTCTCAGTACATTCGGTCAGAAACTCAGAAGTGAAATTTTGCCGATTACCAGGAAGCAATATTGGCTGAGCAGTTCACGATAGAATGCAGACTCTTTCTAACGTAGGTCGGACGATGAAATAAAATGTTATTATCTATAGTCTACGACTTTCGTTATTATAGGGTAGTGCAGTACTTACCCTTGCCTGAGGCGGTTGCCCCTCACCCCGCGGCGGTGGAAGAGGTTCTTGCGACTTGGGCAGGAAATCCGCCTTCGCGTCGAAGCCTGTTCCATTACCAGCAACGTAGTCCACAACCTTGAGTTCGTTATTCACGTCATAGTATCCGTACTTTCCCTTAACGTTCCCGAGTTTGTCACGGGTTTCAATCTTAAAAGAACCATCATCGGCCTCGAAGCCGTACGTATACGATCCGTCTCCATTCTGCTGATTGATGAGCCGCTTGATCTGCACAATCGGCTTTTCCGTGGTGGCCGGATCGAGAAGATCTCGCTGATCAAACAGCCTTCGTCCTTGTTGCTGCGGTGCGGCGGACGCAACTGCTGCGAGAACCTGCATCGAATACCGAATTCAAATGACTATCAAATTCAAATCCCGATGAGACGACACAATCGAAATCTCGAAGTCATCACATGTATATACTATATATACACGCAGCGAACTGATTGGAGCGAAGACTACCTCCTTTCCGCTATCTCACGTGCGCGGGTTTCGCCTCCACAATTCAACCCTCGAGCAATGTATTGCTGGGTCCATTACAACACTGACACCGTTCAAAAGATTCGATCTAAAGCGATTGCTAGTGCAAAGCCAATCAAATTCGACACACAACCAGCATGTCTTCCGCCTTTTATATCGTCCTCTGTCGCGCTTCCTGCTTGCTCCCCATCACGCACACACATCCAAATAAGGGAACATGCATCACCTCATCGTAAATTCGTTAGACAAAGTCGAGAATGGACAAACACGACCCGTTCCGCACAAGCGAGCACGTTTTGTTCAAACACGGCGGTCAGGGAGAAATTGGCCAACGCGATTTTTTATGACATCATCTCGTTGCGCCAAGATGTAGGGTTTCGTAACATTGGGTTCGCGCCTGGCTGCGAGGTAAACGCTTGCGCGCATGAGTGAGGCCATATTGACTCGTGTGCGCAGGGTTGTCGAAAAAGTTCGCGTATGTCGGGGTTTCTACACTTCGCCACCTCAGCTGCCTTTCTTGGGACCCAGTCGCCCGTGACACTCTCGAGCCCTTTTCTTGTGCCAATATATGCAATACGGATGAACACATTTAGCAGGGTGAGTATTTATAATTCGGAAAGCATATCGCGTTGCTTCATCATCATCATGATGGAAATGGGAAACGTCATGTTGTGTATTATATGCTTTCGGGTTTTTGTTTCGCGAAGGTGCTAGTTTTCGAGCCAAGATAAAGTGTGCGAGTGTTCGCCCTTAGTTGTGGATTTCGTTTCAATGGAGGCGGGGAAAGTCCATCCCGCTGGTGCTAAATTTTCTATTACCTGAGCGCTCAAGAGCTGAGAAAGTCGTGTGCTTTTTTTCCGGACTATTGCGCACCAAGGGCATTATATAGACATTAACACCATCGAACGGACGGATATTGCAAAATTTCCTCGCACATTTTTCCATCATCAGTATTTGTACGTTGAAATCAAAATTGGTGCGGTTATGTTTAAATGATGGAATTCCCGCAAAGACGAAGTATACAGTATTCTCCGAATGCGTTTTGCTTCGTGTGAAGCTTATCTTTGATGCAATAACGTTATGCTGATGGTTGCGGAATTGATCACAGCGATGAACCAATAATGGAACAATAATGTACAGTATACCGAATTATTCCGAAAATGTTCTGTACGCGATAGAAAAACGCATGTGAAATCGACGAGAACAAGTATTTCGGCTCACCGCGGCGGACGTATATATATATTGTAAATATTCGCGATTCTTGCTGTAATCTTTGATCTTCGCAAAAAAATGATGGCAAAACAAGTTCTAGAATTGGTGCAATAACCGATCTCGTAGTTGTATTGACCATTTCAAATGTTGCGTGAGTGCTTCAGTAGTGATGTAACCTTCTTTAATGATCACTTATATTCGTCGTTGATCGATGCTTATAGAGAACAAGGCGAATAATTTTGTTTCAGGGATTGTTTTTGCGGTCAGTTCTCGTCCATGTTGGAGTGTTGTAAAAAACGAAGTGCTCTTGAGTAAGAGACTTTATTTACGCCTGTATGTATAGTGAGGCATGAAGAATCGGCCGTAAATTTTTCTTCCTGCGGAAAGTTGACGAGAATACAAGAAGTCGCAATTCCCTAGGTCTCTCATCCACAACAGGGAAGTGAAGTGAGAAGAAAATCAATCCTCTTTTGGTTTCGTCAGTTTCTCGCTGTACAGTTTACTGTATCATAGCATAATTGTATCGAATGCAAAACGGGATCGCGATCGCGACTTTCTATTAACCCTCTTATATACGTTCGGCGTGTGAATATCGAGCTTTAGAGGAACTCCTTTTCGTTCCGTGACGTGGTTCATTTTCGTGGTTCAAATTACGGAAAGACGGTGTATTTCTGTCGAATGTTGCTTCGTGTACGGGTTCTTAAGGTCAAGATATGTATAGTGGTGAAATTGCATTTCCGCGTCTCCGTGCCGCCGTAATTATCACAGCTTTCATTTGCCGGAGAATAACTACCGCGAAGAGAAAGCAAAATTGGTTTGCGTATACTCCTACAGGTACTGTTCTGGAATGAATTATTTTCGGATACGGTATTTTATGAAGTGTTCTCAGGTTTCTATATATGCAGGTGTATAATGAACGCTTTACAGTCTCCTTTGATTTTCAAACAGTGCTCCTGAATTTCAACTCGAGGTAACACGTGTAACCTGAAAAGTATATAATATTCATTCGTATTTATATAGGTACTTCGTAATGGAACCTTTTGATTTGGCAGAAAGTGTGCTCTACGACCTCATCACCTCAATCATCCGTTTATGAAATTGAACTGCTCATCGTCTAAAAGCTCTTGAAACGTGATTTTTCGTGTCATGCGTGATGATTCTGTCGGTGATCCTCGTCCGCGATCCAAAATTTCTAAGTTTTCTACCGGTTTTGTTGAGAATTTGTATTTCCTGTTATCCTTATTATGCAACAGCTTGCCATAATATTATTCACGTTTAAATTGTGCGGAAAATTAAGGACTGAGACGAAGCATAATCGATTTTTTTCACTAGAAAAAAGGGACCGAATGCTTGAAATCCGGATTTTGGCGTGGTAAATTAATATTTCGCTGCATGATCATTTGGAGCCAGAATGTCAAACTTTCTGAGAGCCGAGTTTCTTTGAACAGCCGCGTAATGCATAAATAAAATAATTATAAGCATGCATATAAGAGCTACGAATAATTTTTTGTCAGACTTCAAAGCCCATTATGTCGGTGATTTCATGTGCAACTCCATAATTTTCCGTATATTGAGAACTCTTCCGTTCATGCATGACAGCTAAAATAAAGAATAAGCGAATGATTCTGTGATGAAATCAAAGATTGCATGACGTGCATTGATGAGAAATTACTTGAATCGAAGCGTATGCGGTTAGATAATACATTGATTGCTTTCTGTTCATGCGTGAAATGTTCTTTTTCATGCTGGGTACATTTTTCCATCAGTGTATATCTATTCTATTTAAGGGCCAATTTTATAAAAAAATCCTGAAATTTGTACTTGATCCGGAACGGAGTCGTTTTTTTTTTTGCACGCATTGTTGCTCTACACTACAGTACCCTTTGAAAATTGACTAAAAATTTGGTTTATGGGCTAAGCTATTTTTAATTAATAAGAGTTTTAGTTAGCTTCAGTGTTACACAAGACATGTTTTTTTGTGGAATTGGAGGTGAAGTTTCCAAGAAGTGCGATGAGATATATTGGTCAAGTCCTGATGTCTTATTTTAAATCATTGAACCATCAGAGTTACAGAAAACCATTTTATTCTTGATCTCTTGAATACTTTGACCAGATGCCTCATATATTTGGATGTTTCACAAGACAAATTGTATGTTTTATGATATTGCATGGGAGGGAAATGGCTGAGAGAGGAAGAAGTGGTGATGAGATTTACACACTCACCTCCTAAATTATTCTTGCTAAATAACTAATGAAATCCAGCATTGCATAAAAAACATGGATTTTTATACACCTTCTTATAAGTATATGCATCATATTGAATATTGTTTCACAAAAATTATTTTCATGGAATTTCATGTGAGGGTCATTGGGGAGAAGTTTCATGAGATTTACAGTCACATTGGTCCCCCTGGGTGTATTATTCTAAATAAGTTACAGAAAAACTTCTGTGTCAATCTGAGTTTTTTATTTATTTAATTTTATATTTGTCATGTGTAAGAATGATTCAGGAGACATCTTGTATGTTTTATGGCATTAAAAGGGAGGAAAAATGCTGAGAAGTGTGATGAGGTTTGTACTCTCATTTATTTTCTCCTGATTTAAAATAATTTTTGCAATTCAGTTTGCAGAGAACAATGCCATTCTTAATTTAATTTTACACCTTTCCTTGATGGAAAGAAGTTCAACTAAAATATTCTTTTCTTCTTCATAGAAATTATTTTCTTTAAAAAGCAATAATAATCATCATAAGTCTGAATTTCCAGCTCATGGAAAAGCCACTGGAGAAAAACTGGTTACAATAACATAGACATTATTCAGTGACTTGTAAAATTGGTTAAAGTGGAGTCAACCCCTGCACAAAGGACATAATTTGTGCAAGAGACTATAGTCTGTTGTGTGAAAAGTCTGTTATTATGAAAATTCAATTATTAAACAATCAACATTTTTAATTTTTACCATCCAGTTCAAACCAACAGAAGTCTGTTATGCGGATTTAGTCCTTTGCGCAGGAGGGAAACCTGCCTCCAGAGGCTGTCTGTTGTGCAGGGGTTGACCAGCATAAACAGTTTTGGTCTGTAAAGACTCAATAATTTTGTCTATATGCAGGAGAAACATAAAATCTTGCAATGCTAATTACTGTATAATTTACTCAAGTACCACGTGCCCTTGAGTGAGGCCCGCACAGGGGTTTTTCAGTTGAAAATTTTGCAAAAATGTTATCCCCAAGTAAGAGGCGCACCTCAATTTTTAGTGAATCTAAAACCATGAAATTTTGAAAATAAAAACCAAAAATTTGACTTTAGGCATGAATTGAACAAAAATCTGATGAATTTTCAACTTTTTCAATCCAAAAATGTTTTCTTGTTATATTTGTTCCAAATTTCTCCATTATAATTAAGTCTAATGCACACATAACTTCCTGAAATTGATTATATAAAATATTTCAACAAATGCCCGTATTTACTCAAGTACCATGCACCCTCCAGTAAGGCGCGCACAGGGGTTTTTAACTTGAAAATTTTTCAAAAATCTTATCCCTGAGTAAGATGCGCATCCCAATTTTTAGTGAATCTAAAATCATGAAATTTCAAAAATAAAAGCAAAAAATTTGACTGTAGGCATGAATTGAACAAAAATCTGATGAATTTTCAACTTTTTCAATGCAAAAATGTTTTCTTGTTATATTTGTTCCAAATTTCTCCATTATAATTAAGTATAATGCAAACATAACTTCCTAAAACTTCTTGAAAATTTTGTACCTGCTTATGACGCGCACCTCCTTTTTGTCTTCTGAAATTTGGGAAAAAAGGTGCATGTGGTACTCGAGTAAGGTAAATGCAGTAAATATTTTAAAATAAAATATTTTCAACACAGTGTGTAACAAAAAGCTTTTCACCTATTTGTCCCAATAATAAATGGCTTTGTTGTAACTAGATTTTACTGCATTTATGATGAAGTTCCTCTCAAATGCAAATAAGACAGAAGGAAAAACCTGCATTTCAATTACCTGTTGCATTTGCTGGTGCTCTGATGAGAGAGAGAGAGAGAGTGAGAGTGAGAGTGAGAGAGAGAGGAGGAACCCACCTGGGTGCAAAGCAGGGTTGTGTAAGAATCCCAAGCACAGCAGCAGCACCCACAAGAAACCCCCATCCATCACGCATTGTTGTGAAAGAAGACCACGCGCAATAATATAAGCCCCCCCACCCGTACGTTACATTTTTTTT